CGGCGATGGAGTGCTTCACTGGTCAACAGGAAATTTATATCCAGCAAGAAAAATACATCGAGGCTCTGTCAGTGGCTGAGCAATGTCGAGCCCGGTCAATGCTAGATATCGTGTACGCCAGACGTCCCAAGGCAGATATCACAAATCATATAAAAGGTCCAGAAGCAATCCACCGGGTTGTAAACACTGCCAACGTGCCCGTGGTGGTATTTGCCCTAATCAACGACAAACTATTCGCCTGGGTCATCCGACCGCATCAAGATGACGTCACGTTTCTTGACTATGCCGTCACGTGTCCGGACACTGACTTCACGGGGCTCTTAAGTGAGCTGTCCGTGCTGCGGTCACTCTCTCCACCATCCCCAGCTGGGATTCAGACTATCCCTAGTGTAAACTGGAGAATGGGCGGTTGGAAAGGTCGTACTCGAAATAACTTGGACAGCGTGCTCGATTCTTCTAGCACCCATGACGTCACTCTTATGTCTAAAGGCAATGGTTTGAGGGAAGTGTTTCAAAGGTGGTATGACGTCATCCTTGTTCCCGTGTTAAATGTGCTGAAAAAAGATGGCGATCGATACAGCAACATCGTCATCATACCCGACCTTCAGCTGCATTTGGTGCCTTTCCCAGCTCTCCTCATCAATGATTACTGTGCCAGTGTTATGCCATCGTTGGAGATTTTAGCCCACTCCCTTCGAGAAGATTCATCTTCGAGTGAAGAGAACACACAGCCCAGAGCACTAGTTGTGGGTAATCCTTCTGTCCCAGAAATCGACATTTGCGGAAAAAAATGGACACCCTGCAAGTTACCAGGTGCCGAAGATGAAGCGATTCTTATCGCAGGAATGTTGGGCGCGGAACCTCTTCTCCGAGACCGTGCACAACTTAGCGTTGTCAAGAAGGAACTACCTCGTGCTGACGTCATCCACGTGGCCTGTCATGGCAGCTGGTCGGAGACAGCCCTGGTTTTGTCTCCCGACGGGTCGCCAGAAGACGGGACCTTATCTAGCAAGGATGTCTACTTGACTGCCGAGGAGGTGATGGAGATGAAACTACGAGCTAAAATTGTTGTTCTCAGTGCCTGCCACAGCGGAAGTGGGGAGATAAAAAACGAGGGCGTGGTAGGACTGTCCAGGGCATTTCTAGTAGCAGGTGCGCTACAACATCATTTATTTAAGTTTTCAAAGAGTAACGTTCACTTTTTTACTATGTACATATTACTATTATTTAATCACTTTTTTATAGCTTTTAAGAAACAGACAAAATCTTGGGGACTTCTGTTTTTTATTGTAAAAATGCACTTTGGCGTGAGTATTCTCATAACCTGTTCGCATACTAATTATAGAACAATCCTTTCTAGGCCTAGGGAAGTGATAAACTGAATTTTAAGAAAACATGAAAATGTACATTGTATTTGTAGGCGCCAAGGCGGTGGTAGTGGCACTATGGCAACTGCCGGACCAAGCGACCAAAGCCTTTATGACCAGCTTTTATCAAGATCTTATCGCGAGAAACACAGTCAGCCGTGCACTCAGGAATGCCATGCAAACCATGCAAGATCGGCCTCGCACCGAATGGGCGTCTTTCACAATAGTTGGTCGTGACGTCAGTCTGTGATTGTAATTTTATTGACGTCAAAAACGGACACGTCACACAGACTGATTCATATTCAAAGAAATAAACCAAGAGGAAACTTTATTGTGACGTGTGTAAAACATCATGTTTTGTTACTGGCTGCAATTCAATATATATACACTCTTGCCCAAAATGGTTGGTACACGGAAATTTTGGGATGCATATCTCCCTGTTTCTTTCATTAGTATTGATATTATCAAATTAATGCTGTTTATATTGTTAAATATGTGAAGCTGGAGGATTGGTAAAGCCAAGGAGAAACAACCAATGTAAATGTGAAAAAAAAAAAACGTTAATTTATGTAGGTTTTTTTTCTCATGTCCCCAAAAAGAGTACTTTTTTTACATAACAGTACCAAATGAAAAATTAAACATAAATTTATACTGTGATTGACAATTAACATGAAATTAGGGAAAATTGTCAAGAAACATCTTCAGAGTTCATTATTAATCTAAATAGCGGGTATGCCCACCCCGAGCATGGATAATGGCCTCCAGACGGCGTGGCATAATGTTAACTAGAGTTACAGCTCTTTTGAGAGGAATTCTGGTCCATTCATCTTGAAGGGCATCTAGCAGTTCATCTAGATTTGCAACGGGAGGGTTTCTCCTCTGAATGGCACGACCAAGTTCGTCCCACATGTTATCAATTGGGTTTGCATCTGGGTTTCTTGCTGGATGTGTCATCAGCTGCATGTTGTTTTGTCGGATATAGTCTGCAATTTAGCGGGCTGTGTGGGGATTTGCATTGTCATGTTGCAATCTAAAATTTCTCTGTATATCCCTCTTCCGAACGGCTCCAGGTTCTGCTGGAGAATGTCCCTGTATCTGGCAGCGTTAAGGTTTTCATCCAGAGGAAGCAATGGGCAAATAACGTTGTTGTAAATGGCACCCCAAACATGTACAGAACCACCTCCTCCAGCTATGAGAGTGCGTAGGCTCCCTGGGGAGAGCCTGTTAACTGAAAATATTCAGGAAATAATAGCTGGAGGAGGAGAAACCCTCCCCCTACAAATCTATATGAACTGCGAGGTGCCCTTCAAGATGAATGGACCAGAATTCCTCTCCAAAGAGCTGTAACTCTAGTTCACAGTATGCCACGCCGTCTGGATGCCATTATCCAAGCTCGGGGTGGGCATACCCGCTATTTAGATTAATAATGAACTCTGAAGATGTTTCTTGACTATTTCCCCTAATTTCATATTAATTGTCAATCACAGTATAAATTTATGTTTAATTTTCACTTGGTACTGTTACGTAAAAAAGTACTCTTTTTGGGGGCATGAGAAAAAAAAAACTAAATAAATTAACGCTTTTTTCACATTTGCATTGGTTGTTTCTCCTTGACTCTACCAATCCTCCAGCTTCACATATTCAACAACATAAACAGTATTAATTTGGTAATATCAATAATAATGAAAGAAACAGGGCGATATGCATTCCAAAATTTCCGTGTACCAACCATTTTGGGCAAGAGTGTAGTTTAATACCGTTATAAGGTTTTCCTTTTACGAACTTGTTATTCGACCTAATAGGACCTAATAGGCTCCCTGAAACGAAACGAACGGATGACCCAAGAAACGCCAAATTAAATTCTTACTGTCAGTCAGTGCTACACTCCCTTCAATCATCATTAACTGTCAAATATAATTAGCTGGGGACATCGACATTAGAGCACACATATTAACTTTACAACACTGCAGTAGTATAACAAGGTTGTAAAATTAAAGAAAAACTTATAATAATTAATTGCCTTGAAAGCCAGAATAATTTTCAAAAGGAAAAAGGTTTTAATAAAATCTTCAGATGAATTCTTTTTTGGTCATGATATTCGTAGACACGGCCGTATATAAACAAAGAATAATATGCTTTGTTCCATTCAGGTATATATTAAATCTGAATATTTTTGTGCACACACGTGTGGTACATACACGTAGGGCATAACCCCTTCCCCCCCCCCCCCCCCCCCCCACACACACACACACACCCTCCCACCGCCTACTGTTTGCAGACATCTGACAACGATGATAAAATGGACGACCCCTTAAAAACAATCTCAAAGAACATAACCTATTTGTAACTCTCTGCCTCTAATGGATGACCCTTCTTTACGAACTACCTCACAGAACATAACCTAACTGTTGCCTTCCCTGTTATATACCAAAATTGGTATGAAGCAACCGTGAGCCAAGGAATGCTGGATGGCGCCCGTTTGATGTGCAAATGGAAAGTACCAGTAACCACCTCGACGTATACTGTTAAACAATAAACTTTGTATTTGAATGCAATCTTTATTTTGCCTTACTTTTACAGGGTTTACAACTCGGATTTCTATGCTCTGCCATTTTAATGAGGATGTTCTATTCCATTTGTTTATATCCCGATTTATCCCGGGGTGCCACTATATTAAATCATTCCACTTTGGTGCCTAGCTCCAAGATGAGACTTTATTTTAGAGCTGTTCACTGGCGTTGTTATTTTGTTTTAACTGCTGAATTGACATGGCACGATGTTGTTCATTTTATATGGTTTCTGTTTCGTAACAAGAATCACTGCAACTGTTGTGTGACGCACGCCGAGACGAACGCGATCTTGACAAGCCGACACGAAAAATGTCCAGTATTTAACTGGACTACATCAGCAAGGTGTCAGTATAGTCTCTTGGGCTACCACTTTTCCAATGAAAATGTACAAGTACATGAAGATTTCGCTGGTATTTCTCGGCTACTGCAATTCAGTTTGTCAGAGGGTTCAGTCATTTTGCAAAATAAAAAATTGCACATCTTCCCATCGTTTATCTTAAGATCCAATAATCTACAGGTTCAGAGATTTATCAAAGCCAAAGGCAGGGAAAATGATCTTCAATGCACGAATTTGGCCTCACTTGTTTTGGACCACCAGTAAGACCCACTAAATCACCGAGTTTTGAACTCATCCATTTTTGTCATCATTTTCACATGTCTAAAAAGAGTGGCCTTTTTCCAGACCCTCCCCCCACCCCCCCCCCCCACCTTCATAGAGAACAAGGTGGGCAGTAAAAAACAATGACCTTTGAGAGCAATTTGTATCATCCTTTTTGTCAAAAGTGCACAATGGGAGTCTCGTCTCTGTATACTTCTGACAAAAGGATGTTCCAAGACGAGATTTGTTTTGACTGCTGAATTGACATGGCACTATGCTAATCATCATATATGGTTTCTGTTCAAAAATTATTTCACAAGAATCACTGCAACAGTTGTGTGACGCACGCCGAGACGCACGCGATCTCGACAACCCGACACGAAAAATGTCCAGTATTTAACTGGACTACATCAGCAAGGTGTCAGTACATCGAGCCGTAGTNCCCCCCCCCCCCCCCCCCCCCCCCCCACCTTCATAGAGAACAAGGTGGGCAATAAAAAACAATGACCTTTGAGAGCAATTTGTATCATCCTTTTTGTCAAAAGTGCACAATGGGAGTCTCGTCTCTGTATACTTCTGACAAAAGGATGTTCCAAGACGAGATTTGTTTTGACTGCTGAATTGACATGGCACTATGCTAATCATCATATATGGTTTCTGTTCAAAAATTATTTCACAAGAATCACTGCAACAGTTGTGTGACGCACGCCGAGACGCACGCGATCTCGACAACCCGACACGAAAAATGTCCAGTATTTAACTGGACTACATCAGCAAGGTGTCAGTGCATCGAGCCGTAGTCTCTTGGGCTACCACTTCTCCAATGAAAATGTACAAGTACATGAAGATTTCGCTGGTATTTCTCTGCTACTGTATCCTGCCCTGTGACGGTGTCGTGGACAGCAGTCGGTTGAAGACAGAGGACGGGCTCTCTCCAGGCGGAGGACACGGGTCGTCCATGCCAGGCTCTAACCCGCCTGGTAACCGGTGGTTATATGGCAGCAAGATGTCTATGATGTCCTGGTACCGCTTCATTATCCACTGTTCTACAGACTTACTGTGCTGTTTGTTTGAAGACTGCTGCTATGACGTGGCCCACCACTGTGCCAGCAGTCAGAACAGTGGTGTATTGGCCGCTCCACCCCTGGGTCTGCCCCCAGGGAATGGCAGTAGTCAGATGGCACAGGGCAGCTCTGGCCGGGACACGGGTAGCGACATCTCAGAGGTAGAGCATATTGTACAGCATGCTGGCTTCATGACATGCACACCAATTCAGAAGAATGCTGATTTCACAGTTGGTCGTTCGTCAAGTTTGCCGAGAATGTCCCAGGCCTCCTGGCACCACGTGTACCCCGTCTGGACGCTGGCTCAGTGCCCGGACGCCTGGCAGGACAGCGACGTCAGGCAGCAATGTGTCAACGCTACCAGGGCAGACTTTGAGACCTTCCTCCCCGTCACGGACGCCAATGGTGTGACGTACGCTAATAAGTACTGCGCGCTGTGTCACGGGGTCAGGGACAGCGTTCAGTGGCACGTGCAGGTGAAATGCATGCTGACACCCGTGGAAGAATTCCTGAATTGTACGTCGTGGCAATGCATCCTAGAGATGGTTCTCCTGAAGTATGATTGCTATGCGATGTTAAAACCGAGCAGGTACCCTAATAGGCCGAGGTTCTGTTTCCCTCCAGTGAACGCTAATGACGTGGAGCCGTGTGATTTTGAGCTGGTGAACAACACGCTGTACGAGACGTCCAGTCTGCGTGGCTCTGACGTGCAGTCCTCTCTGCGTGACACGTGTCTCTCTTACACAGCGGTGACACAGACGAGTCTTTACAAAAGTATCCAGGTGTTTAAGAACTACCATTGCATGCTGTGCTATGCCGGGATAAGGTACCAAGAAGGTAGGTAGATTCTGATATCTCTATTACATGTACCAGGACATGATATCGCTCTGTACCTGAACACGGATACACGCAAAGGCGGATCCAGGATTATTTGAAGGGGGGCGGGGGGGAGGGGGGTCTAGTCCGCGTGGTGTTTTGGGCCCGCTGAAAGGTCCCGAAATATGTTGGTATATTAGAGGGCGAACGGTGCCATTTGGTACGGTTAAAAAACTATGATTCAGCTAGTCAAAATTCTAATATCAAGAGGGGACCTGAAATCGGGGGGGGGGGGGGGGGTCAGAAAGTTCTTTACTAAGTATCACAGCTTTATTTCAGGATCATACCCGTCACTTATCAGGAAGTACATGCCCCCAAGTTTTAGTTCTTTGCTGAGGATCAGCGACGACAGCGCAGAGTGGAACGTGGACAAGGTGAGTAAAGGTACAGCGCATACGTGAACGTCGCCAAGCCGTCTAGTGTAGGCTAGCCTACAAGACGTCACTCTTAAAATGAGATTTCTTCGTTCGCTAATACGTCTGGTCCGTAAATGCGCCAAGAATTCAAATTAAAGGTAGCCATAGGCCTGCGTATAACATATAGTTAACTACAAATATGATTTTATGAAAACGTTCTGTTCTCGGGATTTTAGGCCACCCAGCCCTGCCCAGTAGGCTTCAAGTCAATTGGTGGAGAGTGCAGCCCGCTTTTACACGCTTTTGAGCGCGTGTTCTATCAAGTGAAGTTTGTCTTTGCACCTGATGGCTGGAACCTTACTGAACGCCCGGTCATTAATATTTGTGGCAAAATTGATACCAGTATAGGACATATGGCTATTGCTTTTAACCTTTCGCTGATGGAGCCTTACGACTGCAGTTTGCAGATGGCAGAAGAGGGTTCGGCTCTCAGCATCATGTATGTGGCAAGGATTTCAAGGAATTCTCCCAGCGTCTCCTACATCGAGGGTTGGAAACAGATGGTATGTCTGCTGCCATCCATGGACAAGTTTCTGGAAAAGCGTTTAATCAAGTTGGCTGAGGGATCTCTGTATCTGATGGCCAGACCGCGCGATGCCGACATGTGTGGCAATGGCGGCAATAAGACTCGGTCCACTGAAGTCCTAGACGGCGCCACGCATACCACGACGGCGTCCTCTTCTGTGTCTCCGGCTGTCCCCATTTATTATATCACACTTTACGCTCAGGTTGCGTTCTTGTCTTTAAGCTTTACCGTCATGTGATTAAATACAGGGTAGAAACCCGCAAACTAAATATTGATTTGCGCGGAGAGGAGGTATATATGAAATATATAATACTGTTGTAAAGTAAATGACTTACACTTTCACTAATTGCAAGTAATAATTAAAGGAGAATCAAACGAGTGAAAGGATAGAGAGTTATTAAGTGTAAATTAAATTTATTTAACAGTCAACAAGTGCAGGAATTGTTTTCGTGGTAGGAAAAGATGGAACATGTCAAAGTCACCTACATAGTTCGATTTGATTGGTTAATTTCTCAATAGATTTGCAAGTTTCTTACACGTGTAAAACACTTGCAAACTAAGGCTGGATATGGTCCAAGCATGAGTAATTCATGTAATGTTTAAAATAAATTAAAAACAAGTTTCTAATAAAGTACCTAATCAGGAAATGTTGAACGGTGGTTTGCAATATGAGAATGGAAAATCACGCAATGTGATCACGCAAAGACAATGGAAAGAAAACAAGGAAATGCGTGACCAGAAAGGTGAAATTGCGTATAAATACTTGTAAATTTGTATGAAAAAGAGACTCGGTGAATAAACGTTCGAAAGCTCCAGACTGTCGTTATTGTCACTATACAATACGGACTTATTGATACTGGATCTGTGAACTAGATATATACTTTGTAGCCGTGAACTAGAATGAATGAATTTTCATATCATTCCACGAAATCTCTTCTTCATTTTTACGTTTTCGTTTATGCATTAGGACCTATGTGCCAGACATCATCTAAGCCACTTAAGCTGAATGCAATTTAGCAAGAAACCCCTCGGAGATGGACTGATCCTGCTAGATTGATCTAGCTATGGGAACGGGGTCATAGGCCTATATATATATATATATATATATATATATATATATATATATATATATATATATATACCGGGTAGTGGATGTCCAGAACGTCACGGTTATTTAAGGGGATTTTCTTTCTTGGGAGAATGGTCTCTTCAACCTCCAGTCTTAGTAATCAAACGAGCGCAGTGCCCTTTACTAAAAAAAACGTGTAATGAGAGTTTCTTTAAACAAATAATTCTACAAAACACCCACGTTTTTATCTTCACACAGCATCTTCTTGAGCATATGTTCTTTCCTGTTTTGCGAGATCTCAAAAGGTGGCGCTGAAGTTAGTGTATACATGTAGTGTCTAGTTTACAGGTTCTTAATTTTTTTTCACAAACGAACCTGGAAACTACGGCTGAAACCTGACGCTAGACCAAGCTAACTTCAACGCTGCATCTTGGGTAGTATGAACTTGTTCATATCTGTTCATATCTGTTCTCGATGTTAGACGAGCAGGAGCTAGCAAACAAAAACACGGATGTTATCAATGTATAAATTTCACTTCGTTGTTTTTTTTATTATGAATGTGTGAAAATTAAACATGGGAGGCGGAGCAGTTGTTTTCTGGCCCCCATTCTCTCATTTAAAACCCCGAACCTGTCACAGATAACGCCACTTTGTTGACACTTTGTTGACGTGATATGTTGTCACTGAAGCAGGTTAACCTATAGCTGGCTGCTGTTCACCTAAATCCTGTTTACAGATGTGACGTATTACATGTATTCGACCTAACCTTTGAGCCATGAGTGTAACGTACCTATCGCCACTCTATAACTACCTACAGCTGATTTCAGTCACATATACTGTAAGTGTCCAAGAATCAGGTGTCCGTATTTATCCTCTGTATACCTAAATCCTGATGGCGGTGTTCCTATGCATATTTCTGCTTAAGAAGGATTGTTTAGTTTACTACACAGCTAAATCATAATATCAAGTGAATCGGTAGGATGACGATAAGGACACATTAACTGTGGGGGTGAGATAGACGCACGTGCACTCTACGCGCCGGCATTTTGGTTCGCAAAACGACACGACAGCGTAAAAACAATTGCCACACAGAGCTTCAGTCTGTCTTTATGTAAGATCGTCTAAGTACTTCGTATATAACCCCTGTATATAGGACAGGTATATATATATTTGCTCTGAACACGCAGATCTAGACTGCCTGGACCATTCAGCTCATTGGTATTCAAGCTGTACTGTAAGACTAATGGAGTACGACGAAGTCTTGGAGCACGTTGGTCCGTATGGACGGCACCAGATGTTGGCATGGTTTCTGGTCACTGTTCTCTCCAACTGGCCCTTTGCATGGCAGACGTTCAGCATGAACTTCTTGGGCTACGAGCCTGAACACAGGTGCAGGGTAAGTCTAAAGGATTCTCCTCCTGAACCGCCTTTACTCACCGACTTCGGGGGGAGGGCCGGGGTTTGAGGGTCTTCCCATATGTATCTATACGAGTATGTACACGTATAGATACATATGAATCTATACGTGCATGTGTGTAAGCGTGTGTATATACATGTTTTTGTGCCAAATAATGCATTCATATATGCAGTATGTAAGTAGATATGCCTTTACATCATGCCTATTAAAATTTTAATTAGTTGGCCTTCAGTATACTGGGTACATCATATAGGTTATATAGGTGCCTTATATAGCTTTGTACACATAGGCCTAGCAGTCATAAACATCAATTTGCTCTTATTATCTTTTGTTTCAATATAGATGAAACACATTAATATGAATTCATAAATCATGTATAATGTGCCCGTACCCAGCTAGCCCGCATCGTCAGTCGACACACATAGGGAAATGTCAATGTAGATCACGATCTCTCAGTTGTAGCGGTGTTAAGATGAATGCAAGCAATAATGATGAAAAATTTTCTCGGTCAAACGTCCATTGTGATAGTCACATAGCATATGGGTAACATAGAGGAGGAAGCCATCTAACGTCTTCTTTTTAATTAAAAATGAATATAATTTCTGTGAGAACTGATCTAGACGCGTCTATTTTTCTCGATATATGTCTTCTATGTCCACTAAAGTCCATCAGCCTAGTTACCGTTACTTGTATCTTTTAAGAGCTAAAATTAATACGGAATGTTTTAATGTATACTCCAATCTGTTAATTTTCATTTCTACTTCTAGTTTGCTTTTTTTATAACGGGAACACAGTTCATTGTATAAATGCTTACGCCCTTATCACCAAACCACGTACGAGTACATCTTAAATTCCATTTACCTTAATTTTTACCGGGGGATTTAGTTTGCAGTTTAAATTCAAATAGCTTTCATTCCTAACTCAGATTCCATTTGGAGATTTCAACGACACGTCGGTTGGAGATGCTGGCAACTACTCGTTTTCCAGCATTGGGAAGTGCAGTCTGTTCGCCAACGACACCGCAGGCAACAATTACACCACGGGCTGTGAGTACGGCTGGTGGTACAGCCATAACCCCGTCACTAACTCCATCGTTACTCAGGTAAGGAACAGTGCAAAGAGTTGAACCGTACTCGATGTTTGATGCATGGACCTAATTTTTAAAATAATACTATATTTTGGAAAGCCATATTAGATCAATTCAGAGAACGATTTTGAACGTCACTGAAACAATGTATTCTTGGGTTTGATAACATAAACAGGTCGTTGTGCATTGTTGTAACTCCAATAATGTTTGACGTCATTTAAGTTCAACAGGCCCAGAAAACAAAATCAAAATGTGGATATGATTACAAACATTTGCCCAATCCTGTTTAAAATACATAATTAAATGTATATCCTTCTTTAGTGGGACCTGGTTTGCGATAAGAACTTTCTGGCAGAGACAGCGCAAGCCATCTTCAGTTTTGGCATTCTTCTAGGCGATCTCCTCTTCGGATTCCTGGCTGATAGATACGGAAGAAGAAAGATATTTTTCGGGACATTGGCGGGCACGGCAGTGGTGGGGTCTGTGGCCATGTTCTCGCCAAATGTCTACATCTTCCTGGTGTTTCGCTTCTTTCTGGGTACATTGACAGTGGTAGGTGCATGGTGATATAATTATTTATTTATTTATTGGTTTCTTATATTGTTCGTTTATTTTGTTTATATATATATATATATATATATATATATATATATATATATATAATTCCATCTGGCTTGCTAAAGTTGTAACTTAACGAAAAATCAAAACTCTCATGTTCTGTTGTTTATTATTTGTACATGTTGTGAAAGAAAATAGCAAGTATCTCTCACTAGACCTTGACCGTGGCGAATATGAGGCAGTCGAGACACTTGCCTCTTCTGGAATTTCCCCAGAACCCAAAAGAACCGAGTTCTCGCACATGTACCTTGTCTGGTATTTCTCCAATTATATTTTACATGTTTCTTAGATATTTTCCGTCTGCCCTCTACCAGGGCCACGTGACGGATTGGTAATTCACTAGACATTCACAGCTATGGCTCTGGCTAATTATTAACACTTTTCTCTACTGTAAAGAGAGGATGTTTGTATAGAATTAATTCCATATTGCTGAGCTGCCCTCTGGTATACGGTATTTCTCGTCCTCCACCCACATTGTCCACTTTGTCTGATTTCGATCGAACTATTTTGGTCAAATTGTGAGAAAAAATCCTAAAGCTATGAATGAATACCAGTAGTTGCTCTATTGGAAATGACTAAACAAATTTAGTAATGATAGATTATATCTTTCTCCCTCAGGGATTCTGGCTCACCGGCTACCTTTTAATACTGGAAATCTTCCCGCCAAAACAGCGAACTTATTTCGGAATTCTGGCAGCATTTGGCTGGAACAGCGGTGCCCTCACCATGGCGTTGTTCGGCTACCTCATCCGGGACTGGAAAACACTACAGCTGGTGATATCGTTGCCTGCTCTGGCGGGGGTCTTGGTCTGGTGGTGTGTATTATATTAAGTGAAATGAATAGAATTTATTAAAACAGCTAATAAAATTATCCTTTGAATTTTATATGTTACTTGGTTGAGGAATTCTGAGGTTTTGATTCCAATAAATAAATAAATAAAATAATAAAGCCAAAATGGCCATTTCTTTGCAAAGTAAAAAAGCATATACAGAAAACAAGATATGAAATCCTTTGAATTTCTTGTTACATTTAACAGTGTACAAAAACTTGTATAACGGCATTTCCAATATATCTTGTTGATAGAAAAAATTGTTCAAGAACGCATTAAATTATTTACAGCTTTTAAAATTGTGACAATTTTTTTCTCTCTCTAGGTTTGTCCCGGAGTCTGTGCGTTGGTTGTTGGCAAGAGGCAGACAAGGGGAAGCACAGCAGCTGGTCTACAACATGGTCAAGTTCAACAATAAGAAACTGCCAGAAGATTTTCAGCTTTGTGTGCCAATCTCGAAAAAAGACAGAAGCGCCGGAGACGACTCAAACAACGAAGAGAAAACGTACACGACTCTTGATTTGTTCAGGACCCCCAAAATTCGACTGAGAATAATTTGCTGCACGATACTGTGGTGAGGCACGGATAGAAAAAGTGAATTTGTGTGTAGTTTGAGTCATTAAAAAGAGGTTTAGTCCACTCTCATATTTGAACCTCTCGTTCATCTTTTATCCACCGTCGTTCATCTTTTATTCCACCGTTCATATGTGGATATGCCATGAAAAAACCACTTAGATCTCAGCAGTTTAAAAAGAAATTAAAAATAAAAGAGAGAGAGAAACAAAAATGGTTTGATGTAAAGGTGACACAAGCTGCATCAATTGGAAAATAATCATCTTATTTCTCATTTGTTTTAGGATTGTGAATACACTAGTGTATTACGGCATCTCCTTCAGTGCACCCAGTATTAACGGCGACTTCTACCTCAACTTTTTCCTTCTAATGGTGATAGAAGTGCCTGCGGTCATGTTAGCTTTGTTACTAGCATGGAGGTAAGTTTGAGTGCGTGCGAGAATCTGCGTATGCAAGCCCCTGCGCCTGCGCTCTGGTCGAGTAATGAGTTAATGACAGCGTGGTGAATAAAAAAAAAATAAAGAAATGATGAGCGACGTGCATGAATGTGTCCTTTATCTGCATGGGTATCCGTTGTGATATTGAATTATTGATAACTGATTTACAACCATTCCTAATGCAAATTGTTTCAATCTACAGCGGAAAATACATAATTAAAATTACATTACACATAGCCTACAATTACGATACTCAGTACACCTTTTTTTTATCACTCCTGCTATAAAAACCAAATAATATTATTTGCTTAATGTATGCACTTGACAATTGATTAACTCAATTATATACCATATAAAATACTCTTAATGGATTATAATGTTAAATGTCTTCTATATTGTACAGAATAGGGCGCCGTATGCCGTTAATAGTATCCGGGATGCTGGCTGGAATCGCCTGTATCGTCACTCCTTTTATTCCAACGGACACAGGTTAACTGATCTCCCTTTGCTTCTGTTTACAATATAGTACTCATTAGGTCGGGATGTAATGATCTTTGTTTATCAAATAAGTTTTTTTTTTCTTTTCAGTGATCTTACTTAAATTTTGAGGTAATGTTAATTTCTGTGACTGTCAGTCACCATCATCAGGGAGTAAATGACTAGGGTCATTTCACCTGGAATGAAAATCCAGGTCAATTGCCCCTAATCACTGGCCTTGTGTTGTAAGACCATTAGCCACAAGAATGAAAGAACACAAAGACTCAGTGGCCAAAAACAACTGGAAATCAGCCCTTGGAGAACATACCTGCAAACATCCAGGTCACCACATTGATTTTGACAGCCTGAAAGTGATAGACAGGGAAAACTGGACATTCCAAAGAAAAATAGCAGAAGCTGTACACATCAGGACCAAACAACCAGACCTGAACAGACAGGGGAGTATGATTTACCAGCTATCTACCTCANTTTTTGGAGAACGGACGAAAATCGGTGCGCGCGCAGGATGTCATCCATAAAATTAAAAAAGTGTGGCCTTAGCCACAAGAATGAAAGAACACAAAGACTCAGTGGCCAAAAACAACTGGAAATCAGCCCTTGGAGAACATACCTGCAAATATCCAGGTCACCACATTGATTTTGACAGCCTGAAAGTGATAGACAGGGAAAACTGGACATTCCAAAGAAAAATAGCAGAAGCTGTACACATCAGGACCAAACAACCAGACCTGAACAGACAGGGGGTATGATTTAGCAGCTATCTACTCAGTATCTCACGGTGCTCCAGAGGGATGCAGAGGAGCCCCGGGGGGAGGATGTAACAGTTACAACACAAGGCCAGTGATTAGGGGCAATTGACCTGGATTTTCATTCCAGGTGAAATGACCCTAGCCATTTACTCCCTGATGATGGTGACTGCATGACAGTCACAGAAATATTGGAGGTAATACCCACATATTTTACATGCTCTTGATAAAAAGAAAAACAATAATTTGAATTATAACCTTGTTTTCTCTTATCTCCAGCCGCCGGACTATGGTCAGCACGTATACTACCTGCACTGGGGAAGTTCTGGATGAATTCCTCCTTCACTATCCTCGTACTCTACACCACAGAACTCTTCCCCACTGTGCTAAGGTTCGGACATATTATATTCATGTGCTCAATATTGATTTGTGGGGACTGCAAAACGTATACAAATACAATACAAATACCTGTTCCATTAAGAAAAGTATATCTATTAGATGACTCTAAAATATCAGCGTAGTTACTCTTACTTGATCATTTTAATAATCGTGAAGCTAAATAAAAATAGAAGATGTGAAACCAAATACACAATCTAACAGATTAATGCTATTAAACAGTGTGCAACAATAGAGAAATGGGGGCAGTATTAGTACATGTACATTAATGCAGATTCCACCTGTCTTAATGTTGTTAATTGATTCCACTTTCGTTTTCTTCCTTGATTTAGGAGCAATGCGGGAGGTTTTTCTTCCCTTGCTGGCCGACTGGGTGGCATAGCATTTCCTTACATCAACTACCTGGGCAAACTGGACATCGGTCAAGTGGCCAAAAAACTTCCGTTTATCCTGTACGGTGTTCTGGCCATCCTTGGGTCACTTGCTGCGTTCCCGCTGCCAGAGACCAAAGACGCCAAGTTGTTAGAACATGTTGAAGACTTGGAGGGGTCCTGTACGGTGGAGAAACACCATGGGACGAGATATGGTGCCAATGAGACTTCTAAAATGTGAACTTAAATTGAGCCACTTTTTATGGGTATTCGGTCACTCTGACACCACCACCACCCCTCACTCAGCGTATTTTTATTAACAAGACGTATGAATCTGTATTCAATGAATAATTTTTACATTATTTCTTTTTAGTTATCGTATGTAAAATTTGAATATTAAAACAATATTGGTGCCATTAAAACGAAAATAAATTATTAATTCCTTTTTAGCAATAAAAAACAGGATACTGTACATGGAGTTACTGGCGTATATAGGCCTACTACCTACTTACAATCTACCATTACTCTTATATTGGATCCTACAGGGCCGTAGCCTCCGGGGGGGGGGGGGGGTGAAGCTGCCCCCCCCCCCCCGGGGTTTGGGGGGGAAAAAAAAAAAAAAAAAAAACGAAAAGGGGAAAAAAAAAAAA